GGGGAGGCCGGCGGCGGCAAGGGCGAGAATCTGCTGTCGGCCGGGGAGGAGGAGGCGGCGGCCCCCAAGCCGCGGAAGAAGCGCTCCCGCGCCGCCTTCTCCCACGCGCAGGTCTTCGAGCTGGAGCGGCGCTTCAACCACCAGCGCTACCTCTCGGGTCCGGAGCGGGCCGACCTGGCCGCCTCGCTCAAGCTCACCGAGACGCAGGTGAAGATCTGGTTCCAGAACCGGCGCTACAAGACCAAGCGGCGCCAGATGGCCGCGGACCTGCTGGCCTCGGCCCCCGCCGCCAAGAAAGTGGCGGTGAAGGTGCTGGTGCGGGACGATCAGAGACAGTATCACCCGGGGGAGGTGCTGCGGCCGCCCTCGCTGCTCTCGCTGCAGCCCTCCTACTACTACCCCTACTACTGCCTGCCCGGCTGGGCGCTCTCCACCTGCGCGGCCGCGGCCGGCACCCAGTGACCCGCTCTCGGACTATGCGCCTCGGACAGTATTTATTATGATTATTTTATTACGACTATTTTTATTATTATTATTATTATTATTGGGGCGGGTTGTTTGTCTCCCTTCTCCCGCGCCCTCCTGCCGAGTTTGCAAGCCGCCTCCCTCCCCCAAGCCGAGGACTGGCCATGCCGCCCGCGGCATCCGTGTTGCCCAGACGATGCGTGGACCGGCGAGTTCCCGACTCGCGTGGCGGTGGCAGCGGCTGCGGGGGCGGAGTGCCGGAGCCCCGGGCGGGCAGGGCCGAGCACGGACTCCCGCCGCGGCTGGGAGCTGACATTTTCTTCCCTGCTCCTCTTCCGCCTCGTCGCGAGCCTTGTATGGTGCTGAATGTACGGCCGGCTTCTTGGCGGCTCCCGGCCCCGCGGGGCCCCGCTCCGTGCGGCCGAGGGGCGCGGGGGGCCGACACCTCGACCCCAGACCGAAAAGCCAGACGTGTTTTTTTCCCCCCTCCGCAGATCTGTCCTTGTTTGGAGAGGCGGGGGGGGGGGAGGGAAGAACTTTTTGCACTTTCCAGTTGTATTAAAGTCGTTGTTTTTCTATTCAATGTGAATATTTCTAGTCAGGCTTTTTCTAAAAAACAAAACAAAACAAAAAACAAAATCGATGTCACGGGGAGTTTTTTTGTTTTTGGGGTTTTTTAGTACCATTCAGTGCCTTTTCCTCAGCAAACCTCTCCTCGCGGGCTGTGTTGGTGTCCCAGCTCAGTCGTGTCACAAGAGGCTCTTTCTTTCTAGGTAACTCGTGGCTTTCCTCTCTCTCTCTCTCTCTCTCTCTCTCTCTCTCTCTCTCTCGATGGCACTGTGCACTCGACCCGGTTATTTACTGCAGATGAATTGTGAATGTCTGTACGCTACCCGCTGTACCTTTCTTTTTTTAATTTATAAATGTTTAGTTGAACACGTCCCTCTGTCCGCTGCGTCCTTCCTGAGCTCGGCGGCTCCTTGCGGCGGGGCCCGTTCCCCGGCTCGGGACGCTCGTGTCCTGCCTTCCTGGGCCTCGCGGCCTGGACGGGATCCCTGCTCTCGCTGTGGATGTGTCTCTGAAGCCAGGCCAGGGCCGCGGCCCGGGTTAGAGGGCCAGGGGCCGGCGGCGTGGCCAGGCCCTGCAGCAGGCCCTTCTTCTTCCGCCGCCGGAGGCTCCTTGCCGGGGCCAGCCGCAGTCGGATACCAGCCGGCGAGGCTCAGGGCCGAGCAGCGGCGCATTTTGCACGGCCCGGGGCGGCTTGGTTTGAACCAGGGCTTGTCTGTCGTGGGCGGGATGCAAAGAAAAGCTTCCTTGCTCCCGGATCCGCAGGGTTGTTTCTTCTGAAGTGGACCCTGGAGTCTTCCTCGGAGCTGCCCCTTGCGGGGCCTGCGCTGGAAGCCCAGGGCTGCTGGGCGCTGCAATCCTGCCGGGGCTGCAGCTCTCCGCCCGCGCCGAGCCCTGCACTCGCGCACGATTGTCTCGGGGCAAATCCCCCCCTCCGCCGAGCTGTCTCGGGGCCGCCCTGGGGCTCGCCTCGCCCGGCCTCTCAGAAACACTTCGCTGATCGCGCCTTGGCTGTGAGGATCCAGGCTCTCTTGCCTGCTGGTCCCCGGGAAGGTGCGGCCTCCTCCTCCCCACCTCCCCCGGGGCAGCGCGCAGCCGAGCCCCCCTTCTCCGCAGCGGTCCCGAGCCCGAGGCGCCTGAACCCCCGGGACACGTTCACGGGAGCTTCAGGCTGCCGGACCCGTCCCCGGGACCCCAGGTAGCGCCGCGTACTGCTTTTCACCGTTGAAGGCGCGGGGATTTCTCCCTCGGGAGCCCCTGCTCATGCTTAGCTGTCATCCACGCTCTCCCCCCGCGCCCAGCTGCGGACAAGGCCGCCGCCTGCAAATGCACCGCAGCTATCTACCTCTGGCCCCGATTCTCTTCGGCGAAGACTTGGAAGGGCCCGCAGCCGCGCGATTGGTTTTGCAGCGGGGCCGCAGATCCGGATGCGGGGAGCAGGGGCGTTTTGAAGCTGCCCCTTGAGTGAGTCCCAGCGTGTGCTTAAAGGTTTGCTCGATGCGCGCCGAGCTCCAGTCTGGTGTCAAGCGCGGGGGAAGGGACGGGGGCTCCGGATCCGCGGGGGCGGGTGTGGGGACACGCTCCGGCCTCCAGCGAGGCGCCTCTGCGTTTCTGTCCCTGCCCAGGCTCGGAGGGCAGACACAACGGCTTGACCCCGTTGAGGGCTGGGAGACGGCGTTTAAAAGTTGCACCGCGGAGGAAAACGAAAGTGCTGATTCCCGGGAGAAAAAGAACCAGGCGGGTTGTTGTGTTTTACATGCACAAATGCATGGGCTTTGGTCTTCACTCAAACGGCAAAGTTTCCGCAAATCCGGGCTGACCCCTGAAAGCCGAGGGCTTATTCTGGATTTCCACGGGTTACCTGATACAAGTTTTGACTCTAAAAATCATTCACCCCAAAACATGCACGCTGGCCACCAGCACTCCCGCGATTAAAGCAGGAGAAAACTCATCCTGGCGCTGTGCCCCGCTGCCGTGTTTCAACCGAATCCACCAAACCTTTCTTGTCTGATTAAATCGCTATCCAATCATTAACAAATAACGCCTATAAAAACAGCCAATAAAATAAACCGCAACTAAAAAACACCCCTCGATGTCTGTGTAATCTAACGGCCTTGGATGTCTCCGAGTGTGGGGCTTAGACATCTGAGTAAGGAGGCTTTTGGCAATGCAGGATCTGCTGGTGTTCCTACGTGTTGTTCGCACACCCTCATGAGAAGAGGACGGGGGGGGGAGGGGTGTCAGCTGTGCTTCCACCAAACTAAAAAACACTCAATTAAAATATTCTGCCTTAACCCCCGGAGGCCGCCTGTCCTGTTTGGCCTTCACACTGACCCGGCGACCTGGGCACTGGCCTTCTGCCCCCCACCCAGCGCACTGGCACCTGCCCGGCTTCCCAGGGGCTCCGCAGGAACCACGATAAGGACTTTTTTAGGAGCAAAGGTGATAAAAAGGTTAAGGGCGGTAATGGGGCTTCTGTCACTTCGAGGCGAGGGGCACGGGTAAGAAGGATGTGATGGAAAAGCAGGCTGTGCGGAGGTTTTCATTGCAGTTAAAGGCAAGAGGCGCACACGAAAGCTGCCTGGAATTTGCTACCGAGGGCAAATAAAATCCCCCTTGACCTTTCCACACCGGACTTTGATTTCACCTCCCGTTCCCTCTTCATCTGGGCTGAGGAACTGTCGCATGTTTCTCATTCAAACTCACTTGAAGAATCCACAATGTTTAGCGTTGTTTTATAGCAACGGCAAAGGCTGCTCCGCGTAAACAGCTGCAGTCCCAAACCCAGTGCACAAAAGAAAGATGCTCCAGGATCGTATTTCCAGAGCCCAAGTGTGTGGCGAGCTTTCAGGATTCACTTGTTTTTGGGGGGCTTTGTTTGTTTGTTTGTTTGTTTGTTTGTTTTCAGTGGGAAACTTCCCTGAGTGAGGAACGTAGATCCTTGCCTAAGATCCCATACCACTTAATTTCCTCAGCTCCCCCCTGCAACAAAACGGGAGATCGCAATGATTTATAGCCTAGCCATGCTGATAAATAGGTGCGTTGATTTTATGTGCGGGATGGGCGTGTGGAACTATAGAAATCCACGAGTGCAGAGGGGCTTGCAGACCTTACTGCGGAATTCATCCCTGGAAAAGCGAAAAAGGTCCTACAGAAAAAAAGAGTAGCACTGCCCCTACCAGGGAAGCGGGAATGTCAGTGCCCCGCGGGCGATCAGCACGTGCGGCTTCCTGCCCCCGTCCTCCATCGTCCTCCCCCTGCTCCGGCCGGGGAGCTGAGTGAGGGCCAGCCGGGGGCACCTGTGAACGCCCCAGGCGTCTGAAAGGGGCTACAAGGTGCCGATGCACTGATCCAATTTGGACTAGGGCAAGGGTGGAGCAGTGGGGAGGGGGCCGAATCTGGTAATCACCTCCACAAGCGGAATTGCTACTGACTTCCCCTTCCCCTAGATCTTGATCGCAGCCTGGTAGAGGTAAGGCGATGCTAGGCGGGGCTGATCACCGCATCGCCGCTGCTTTTTCCTGCCAGAAGCATCCAGCACCTGGCATGATCAGGTTCACTCCCGGGCATTAGCTTCATGACATTCCCTTCCGTGCCTGTGTCTTGTCAGATGCGCTGGTTTTGCTGCCCGGGTGCACGCGGGAGCATTTTTTCAGCAGCGCATGTCGGAAGAGATCTTTTCTCACCCAGCCCGGACGCTCCCGACACATCCGAGCAGGCTCGGACCGGCAGGGGTGGCTGATGCTGACAGCGCTCTGCCTCCGGGCCGCGTCTCTCACGTTTGGGACTCTTAGCCACGGGCTCCCGGCTGATCTCAGCTGCTCAGACAAAGCCTAGCGGGAGAAGGGAGGCTCCCAGGTCAATCTAGGCAGGAGCTCGAGTGCACTCTGGACGGGGCTTCGCACAGCTGCCTCCTGCACAGTCTGGCCCTGGGAGGCCCCCGGATGGGGGGGATCACAAAGAGGTTGATATCGAAGAGCATCGTTGCCATCTCCTAGCTCAGTGCAGGGGAAAAGAGATCCCTATGTATTCACTGCCACTGTCAGGGACAGGCAGGAACCAAAACACACGGCTCTCCCTGTGGATGGAGAGGAGCAGAGCTCAGACGCCACTGCTTTGCTTCCCACCCTGGCCTTGGCAAGGCAGAGCTTCCCACTCTGAGAGCGGGAGTAAGGAGAGAGACGGATGCAGGCAGCATGGGAAGGTCCGCGCCCTCCCGCCCCGTCGAAGTCCGGCCCGAGCGGCCCGGCCCGGGGCCCATAGCGAGCTGCACGACGTGCCTGCGGCCACCCGGGATTTTTAAAAATTAAACGGTGCCTCTCATGCCTCCTCCCCACCAAATCACCCACGGGTGAGCCCGCGAGGGGCAGTAAGATGGGACTGAGTCCAGCTGGATAAAGATCTGGTATCCAGACTTATCTGGGTGGAAACTGGCCACGGTGACAGTGCCATGGCCAGGCCTGGAGCGGGGCGGGAAGAGGCCAGGGCAGGCGGACTGGCGGGGAAAGCGGCGAGG